ATTGTAAGTCCTTATATTAGGGAGACAATATAATATTTACAGATGTGGGTATGGTTTATTTCACTAATAAGTATATCTTCAAGGGGCATCCACTTAAATATGAAGTTTTCAAGTTTATCATTCTTTATAGCTGAGTAGTACTCCATTATATAAAAGTACCACATCTTTCCAACCATTCCACTTGTGACAGGCATTTTGGTTGTTTCCAAGATCTGGCTATCAAAAATTGTGCTGCTATAAAAATAGGTACGCATATATCACTATGATATGATGATTTCAGTTCCTCTGGGAAAATTCCCAGTAGTGGGATAGCAGGCTTGAACGGGATTTCCAGTCCTAGTTTTCTAAGGAGTCTCCATACTGATTTCCATAATGGTTGCACCAGTCTACACTCCCACCAACAGTGGAGAAGTTTTCCCCTTTCCCCACAGCCTCTCCAACATTTGTTGTTGGTTGATTGATTTCTTTATGATAGCCAATCTTTCTGGGGTGAGATGGTATCTCAGTGTTGTTTTAATTTGCATTTCATGGATGGCTAGTGATGTGGAGCATTTTTTCATATATTTATTCGCTTCTTTAATTTTGTTCTCTGAGAAGTGTGTGTTCATCTTAGATGGGTCTTTAAATTTAGGGGCCCTAATGTTCTTTAGTTCTTTATCAATTCTAGAGAGCAGACCTTTGTCTGAGTGCTTATTAGTTAAGATTTTTTCAAAGTTTGTGGGTTGTCTTTTCACTTTGTTGATAATTTCTTTTGACGTGAAAAATCTTCTCAATAAGAGGTGGCCCCAGTTGTTAATTCTTTCAAGTGTTTCCCATGTGATTTCATTTCTGTTCATGAAATCTTTGCCTACCCATATGGCTTCAAGAGATCCTCCTACTTTCTCTTCTAGGAGATTTAGTGTTTCTGATTTAATGCTCAGTTCTTTAATCCATTTTGATTTTAGTTTAGTGCATGGTGATAGACCTGGGTCGAGTTTTAATCTTTGGTATGTAGAGAGCCAATGTTTCCAGCACCATTTGTTAAAGAGACTATCTTTCTTCCCATAAGTATATTTGGCCCCTTTGTCAAAGACAGAAGTTTTTTAAACTTTGCAGAATTGGAGGATCAAAAGCTTTTTTTTATAGGCCACTGGGTTTTAGGATCTAGCTTATATTGTGGCCAAGCTGTAGAAGATTAATCGCTTAGGTATTATGGCCTCCTGGAGGCTGAGGGAGCCCAGACTACAGACCAGACATCCCAATGGGGTGTCTTTTAGGGGCTGGGAACAAGTATTTCTCTTGGTGACTGAATCAAAAGGTGAGCCAAAGATAAGGGCAAAAGCCCGATGTCACTTCCCACTAAAAAGCTGTCACTTTTTAGCCTGGAGTGAGTGTGAGAGAGAGAGAGCTAACACCCACTTTGTCAGTTGTCACTAGAAAAAGCAGGGAGCAGAGGACCAGATGGCCGACAGAGATGAGTGGGGACCCTGACGTGATCTCACTATTTTCGAGATGACAGGAGATGAGATTTGGGGCTCACCTGTGTGGATTAAAATTGGCGGGTGTTTGATGCAAGCTGGCAACGGCAGGCGGCAGAGGCAGAGGCAGAAGCAGAAGGCGGTTCAGTGAGGGAGCTCAAAGCCAGGGCAGGGCATGCTCTGGGAGCCATGCTAGTCACTGTTCCAGATCACAGCACCGAAAATGATAGGTTTTGACCATGTCACAGCAGAGAAACAGGCAGAAGGAAAAAGGGAAAGGGGCTTTATTATAAAGGGAATGGGGCTTCATTATAAAGGGAAAAGGGCTTCAATATCTTGGAGGACACAGAGTAAATTTGGGAAGATAAGGAATTCTCTGGATTGGAACAAAGGGAGGCCGAGGCTTTTATGGCCTTTTGCCAGGGGTGGTGTTTTTTTTTTTTTTTTTTGCTGAACCGGGGATTGAACTCAGACCCTTATGCTTGCCAAGGAAGCGCTTATTCCACTGAGCCATCTCCCTGGCCCCTCAGGGGTGGGTTTTGAGGGGGATGTTTAGATATACCTGAGGAGCTGACTGGGGCCTTCTCTGAGGTGGCTGGAAAGGTGAAAGGAAAATGCACCCTTGGCTGAGTTGAAGAAGCAGGGAGGTGGTCTCTGGGAAGATAAACTGTTATTTTAAGGGCTTCAGCCATATTGGGTGACCACCATAATGATTCAGCAATTCATACTAGGGCCATAACCTGTCAGTTACTTTATTAAAGTTATCCTTGATCTCTTCTACATTCTGTCCCAAAGTTGATTCATATGGTAAGATTTAAGTGTTTTACTTACTAGTGTTATTCCTAAAACACTTAAATGGTTTGAGAAACACATTTACATGCAAATAAATAAGTTGCTACATTCCTAATGGCATATTTCATTGAGGAAAAGATCTCAATGTACAGTTTACAGAAAGCTTGGTATGTCCAAGAATGGTGTGCCATGGACCTCCTGAAAGCCGAGTGCTAAGCAGTATGTAGGCCGACTCCCCTGGCCCCTCTGACAGAGCTTCTTCATGCTCCCAGATTGGCAAAACCTCTACATTGTACCGGCTAGGAGTTGAAGAAACTATGATGAAGACAGCCATAAGGATTGTGCCTCAGGAACTTACAGTCTAGCGGGTCAAAGGACAGGCAGGGGACATGTCCTGTGGTGAGGGAAGTACAGGCATGGGGAGACCCTGGAGAGCACACCTACCCTGAAGTGGCTCTGGGTGTGCCAGAGGCTCCTAGTGAGCAGTGTGAGCCAAGGAAAGTGCACTGACCTTGTCCTGGGGAGTGAGGTAGGGAGATGCCTTGGGGGAGGGGAGGAGCGATGCAGGCATGTGTCCTGCGAAAGGCCGGAGTCAGGAGAAGCCTCAGGAGTTCCCTGGTTGAGGCTTAGTGCTCTGAGTTGGACTGGGATAGGTGTCAGTCCCCCATGAGGCTGGGAGGTGATCAGAAGTGGGTCATGGTATGATGCCGGGATGCAGGCATGCCAGTGTGTGTGGGGAGGGTTGGGGGATGAGGGGTGGAGGGTGGGGGGATGGGGACAAAGGCCCCTTGAAGGAGTTTTATTTCCATAGGAGAGACCAAGTCTGAGTTCACAAATAAGCAAACCAAGATGTCTTTAAAATTTAGATAAAGATAATAAACAGTTTCCTATCTGATTTGTAAATGGTTTCTGGGGTATTTCTGGGTGAGCTCTTTAGGCAGAAGTGCATAGAGTAAGTCACCACTCACCTGGAGTAGAGGGTTCTACAAGGTGCTTGTGGAAGGGATGGAGAAAATTAGATAACATCTGAGAGGTCCAGAGAATAGGATCAATAATATTTAGTCATTTCCTAAATAATTATAACAAATAATAACCTTTGCTAATTGAATATTTACTACATGTAATTCACTTCTACAAGAGCTTTCTATATTTTTCTCATGTTTACAGCACATAAATGCCTGTGAGGTAGGCATTTCTCTTCATTTTTGTGGAGAGAAAACCAAGACCCGGTGAATTTAAGTAACTGGCTCTAGACCCCTGGATGTGGGAGCCAGGAGTCAAGCCTGGGTGTGCCTCACTCCTAATCCTTCTGAACAGAAGTGACAAAAAGGGAGTTGAGATGCTGCATCCACACAGCTCTCACAGTATGGGGATGGGGAAGGGTGGATGGAGAAATACAAGAGAGAGAAAGCTAAAGTCAGGCTGAGCCCTTTGAGAGGAAAGGACCTGGCCAAGGACTGCAAAGTGCTCATTTATACATGGGGGAGGTTCGTATCAACTCTAACTAGCAATTTGTTTCCCAGCTGGAACAGCCTAGAGCTCTCTGTGTTCTAGGGCAGATTTTGTCTTAACCTTGCACGCACATGTGATCAATCTCCAGCTTAGGCTGCTCCTCACATAGAGGCAGAGGTAGGCATGAGGAAGAGGTGCTGATTCCTTGGGATCTGTGGAATGTGGGGTACATTTGAGTCATCCAAATACTGATATCCCATGGCCAGATGGAGAAATCAGTACTTTACAAAGTTTGTGAGAAAAATCTAGCTCAGGGAATGAATTTCAGTTACCAGTATAAAGGTTCTTTGGAGGCACAGCAAAGGTGAGACCACCCCAGGAAAGTATTTAGAAGGATTAGAATTAATGTAAGGAATATTAATTGTATGGAATGCAGGGACAAAACCCCCAAGAAGATGTATCTAGAATTATGAGAAGAATATTGGACAGTAGCATTGTGTATACCAGAGGGAAAAGTGTTTCAAGGAGAAAGTGAGCCAGTGGTGATGAATTTTCTAGTTAAGGCAATAAGCTAGAGAGGGTCAACAGGTATCTGTTGCTTTGTAGTACAGCAGCAAGCCTATTAGCTACCTAAGTGGACAGTTTAGTGGACACAGCCCCATTTAGTTGGCTGAAGAGTGTTACGGTCTGAATGTAAACGTTCCCCAAAAGCTTCATGCAGTCGTGGGGGTAGGCGTTTCAGAGCTGGCTGAATCTAGAGTGTGTGATGACTGCTGAGGCAGTGCTGAGATTAAGGGTTTGCACGCTCCACCACCCTAGGCCAGGGAGCTGCGTGCAGTGTGAGGGGCAGAGAGGCTTGGCCCCTTCCCTTGCTGCTTTTGCTCCCTTCGCCACCGTGAACTGTTGCGCCTCTGCCATGTGCCAGCTAGCCATGGAGCCAGATTATTACTGACTGAAAACTCTACAAACTGAACTAAATTAAATTAACCTTTCCTCTTTCAATTTTGTGTGTTGGGTATTTTGTCTCAACAACGGAAAAAGTAAGACAATGAGTGTAAACAGGCACTGCGGTACCAACCTGCAATCCCGGCACTCTGGGAGGCAGAGGCACTGGGACTGCCACTTCAAGTCCAGCCTAGGCGGTTCAGAGATTTCAGAAGACCTTAAATTAACACTTTACAAAAACAAAGAGTCAGGGACATAGCTGTCTATGAAGGCCTGGCTGCACTGACTCAGAGTTGAACAGGAAAAAAAAAAAAAAAAAAAAAAACTTCATAGAAAACGAGTAAGTTGGAGTGCTGAGTATGTACAAGTTGGTCAGAACAGTGTTCCTCGGGACATAAGAATCCGGAGTGTCAGTGAACCACTTCTGGGAAGTTGGGGTCACACTCCTAGCCCTGAGGGTTCCTTTACCGCCTTAGGAGATGACACAACCTTTCCTTCTCCAGCCATTCCCTTTATTGAAAATTTGCTTGCTCATAAACTTTTTGGCTTGCCGCTTTTTAACCCTCTTCCTCAGAATCCTCCTGATGAACACAGTCCTGGAAAACAATGACCACTAGTCCTTTGCTCTGTGCAGGTCGCTGGCTTCACTAGCCGGGACAAAGGAAAGATCCCTTCCCTGTGCGCGGAGGCTCCCCCTGCAGGCCACCGCCTGTGCTCAGCACCCGTCTGGCTTTACTTCTAGGTGCCTTGGAGTTGGCTGCAGCCATGGAGAAAGGCCCCTGGCCTGTGTCTGCCCACCTAGACGTCCTCTCCTTGGAGAACCGGAGCCTGGCTATGCTTCCTAACTGGCAGCCTGTGGACGAGCCTCCTGGGTATACATCTGCTCCCTCAGACATGCTGTCCTTGAAGAGCCAGTGCCTGACCAGAATTTCTGACCTGAAGACCATGGGAAAACCACATGGGCCTGTGTCTGCCCACCCAGACGTCCTCTCCTTGGAAAACCGGAGCCTGAGTTCCCTCCCGAGTGTAAAGAGCAGCGTGTCTGCGGGCCCCTCGGGCCAGTGTCTCCAGCTACCTCACCCGATGCGTGCTAACACGAGCAGCCTGCACACCAGCACAGGCCTGCTGTCTGAGGCTCCCAGCAGCAGGAGGGCCCAGTGTCTGTCTGCTGCAGAGACAGTTCAGGTAGCGCCTTTGGTAGAGGTCCCAGACATTCATCCTCACTTCACACTTGTCTGTTGTCTGCTCTTGTCCCTAGCCTCAGTTGGCCTCAGTTGGCCTCTGTGCGGCTGTGTGTCTACAGAGCCTCTCTCCTCAGCGCCTCTTTACTGTACAACTGTCTTGCTCCACATCACTTTTGCTCTAGTTCAAAATTCCACAAATAGATCAAACGCAGCCCTCGGTCATGAAAGCCTGGGAACCCTTCGAGGCCTTAATTTCCTTGCCTTTAAACAGAGTCTCTGAAAATACTCTTCAGAGCTGTAGTCAGGCTCACGGCAGCGCTTTAGGGCTGTGCATGGCAGTCATGTGAGTGCGCTACTCCAATTCATTTTCCAGCAGCCGTAGTAGGTAGGCGGTGGTGAACGGGGAAGCTGAGCTTCACAGCACTGAAGTGGCTCACAGCTGCTGAGCCTTGACTCGGGAGTGGCTGAGATACTGTAAGGACATGAACACAGGCAGGCAGATGTGGATGCCGCAGGGCAAAGGCTGAGAGGCTGAGCAGGGAAAGGGATGTAGAGGGACTGAGTCCTGGTGGGGACTGGATGGGTCAGAGCTGGGGTGTGCTGGGGTGTTCAGAGAAGTTTATGGATGATGCTTGGAGGGGTGAACCCTTCCTAGGTCTAGGAGCTGCCTTTGATCTTCAGATCAACCCATGCTTGAGGGGCCACGGGCTCCTGCTGTGACTGTAACTGCCACTATCCCCAGGGTCATCTGCGCTGTTCCAAAGAAGAGAAAACGTCAGCACTGAGGGAAGGGGAAGGGGCCCAGATGCCTTTTTATAGCCTAAGCTTGGGAGAAGAGGAGGAGGAGGAGGAACTGAATTCACAGCTTTCCACAGAGGATTTGGAGTCTCATCCTAATTCCACTGACCAGTACCTGCAGGAAAACAAGGTGACATTTCCAGAGTTGCAGAGGTTGGTCGTGTGGGGGAGGGGAAGAGGTGTAATCCTGAACCAGATCTCTTCTCCAGATGAAAAGGGAAGGAGCTGACAAGACCCAGCTGTCCTTTCTCATTCCCTAATCCCTTTTGGTGTTTTGAGAGAGGATCTTGCATTGTAGTTGAGGCTAGACTATAACTCACGATGATCTTCCTGCCTCACCTCCTGAGTACAGTGATTAGGGGCCGGTACCGCCATGCCTGGCTTCCTATCCTTTCTGCCAACCTCTCAGTGGGACTGGTATCTTTCCGAACCTGAGCCCATTGTTTTTGCCCTGATTGTGTAAGGTGCTCTGCATCAGTGTTCCAGTGGATCTGTTAGCTCACTCTTCTTTTCTTCCTCTCCTGTCTTCCAGATGATTCTGCTGAGCAGACTGTGCTCTACTGTGATCTCAAATGAAAACAGGAATATTAAAGCTGCTCTCTTCAGACCCATCTTTTTAGTCTGTAATATGATTGCCCGCCTGGAGCCTGAGTTCATCCTCAAGGTATTGTGGGTGAGGGAGTGGTAGGTATAGGTCTCTGAGAGACAGGAATGTGTTAGCCTAGCCTACTGCCTAGGCTTTGGTTGTGAGTGGAAGGAGCTTTGCTTAGGAGGGCACAAGGACCTGTGATGGACTGAGTCCTCATCCCTACAGTTCTGTGAGGAGAGAAAAGACAAGGTCGGGAAAGTATACGAGACTCGGTTCACTTTGTAACCCAGGCTCAGTGTGCCGAGAGTCATGTTTATGGATGAGCCGGCTCTCGGTGAGCTTCGAGTGTTGGTAGGAGGGCAGAGCACTGTCCAAAATAGCATGTCAGAGCAGGTGGCCCCAGATAATGTTTGAAAAGCAGAGAACAGAGGGAGTGTTTTCTGGGAGGGTGTAAAAGGTGGCAGGTTCAACCAGTGATTGAAACCTTTGACAAGATTTATGACCACTGGTAGAAGTGGCCCTCTAAAGGAAGAAAGGGCAGGGTTGACTTGGAGGGCATTTGGGAGAGTCAGGAGAAGATAAGCTACAGAGTAGGATAAGGGAGAGACCAGCAATGGTAAACCTCACTGAAAGCTCTAAAAGGCTCCTCCTCACTGGGCCAGACTGTGCAGGATCTAGAATGCCAGCCTAGAGGACACGATTCTATTTTGCAATATAGAGAGCTAGAAAAGGGTTTTATGTGGGCACACTCAAGCCTTGGTTCAGAGCAGGCAGCTACAGCAGCAGTGGCTGAGATGCTCACCCCGTGTTCTAGGCATCTTTGTACGCCAGGCAGCAGCTGAACCTCCGGGATGTGGCCAACATGGTCCTGGCCATTGCCGCCTACTTGCCCGCCTGCCGTCCCCACGTGCGTCGCTATTTCTGTGCCATCGTCCACTTGCCTTCCGACTGGATCCAGGTCGCGGAGTTCTACCAGGTGAGGCGCTCACTTCCCGAGCACGGACCTCCCCAGCTTGCCTCTCTGCTGCTGTTGAGTCTCTGGAGCAAACTCTCAGCCAAGTCGGCCTCCCCTCAGCCACGTAGCCTGGTGCCCACAGGGGGCAGCTTCTCCTGGAGCAGGCTGGGCTGCCTGCAGGAGGGTAGGATGGGAGCCC